GCAGGTCCCTGGTTCAAATCCCCGTCCCGGGGCCTTTCTGGAGTGGAGTTTGCATGTTCTCTCTGTGCATGTGTGGGTTTTCTCCAGGTACTCCAGTTTCCTCCCACATACCAAAAACATGCATGTTAGGCTGATTGGTAACTCTAAATTGTCCCTAGGTGAAAGTGAGAGAGTGAATGGTCGTTTGTCTCTCTGTGTCCCTGTGATGGACTTGAGACCTGTCCAGGGTGTCCCCCACCCCTCACAAAGTGACTGCTGGACATGGGCACTGACGACCCCCATGACCCAAAATTGAAGAAGCGGGTAAAGATAATGGATGGATGGATGGATGGATGGAGTTTGCATCATGCATGCGTTTGCAGCACACTTTAACTGTTTATCCTGCATTTAGCTTTTTTCAGCTTGTTGGCACTTGTCGGCCACCGTAGTTTAATGACAGACACAAAATGTGTGGTTGAGGTGCAAACTAAAGGACTATCATATCATCCAAATGTCCAGCTGGAAATTAACACCCTCTCCAGTGAAACTCAATAAAAAACCGGTAAAGAAAATAAATAGTTGGATGGATAATGAGGGTTTATGTGTTTACGTATCACGTTGACCCTGTGTGGATTAGAGACAATTCACAATAACTTTAAGCATGTTTGTCACATAATTCTTATATTCACAAAACTTCCAGCACAACAAGGAGTTTGTTTTTGTCTTAAGGGGATTTTTGCAAAAGCAAAACCAGTAGAGCTTCGAACACAACATGCACAAGCGTGATTTGTGTTTTGTGTATACTTCAGTGTATACACACATACACACATACACACAGGCACACACATGCATGCGTGAGATCAGTGTGGGAGGGCTAATCAGGGTAAATCGCTGACACTAATCCACGGCCTGTCTCACTTGTTCTTCTCTTGGGTCTCTGCGTGGGCAGCCAGTGTGTGCCTCCTAATGTGTGTTTAAAGAGTAGACTGGAAAAAAGTTAGAAAGACACTGGGGGGGATGGGGGGGGGGATCATGGCTGCATTTCATTAATGGAACACCAGGGGTCAGTGTTGGTCACAGAGGATTCACCCAGAATCATAAAACAGATCCCAATTTTAGGTCCTTTTTAAAATTAATCTTTCATTTAAAGGGATCTTTTGACATATTTTAAGTTCCACTTACACGAACGATTTGTTATTTTAATATAACTATAATCTTTAAAATTACACAGCGGATTTATGCAAATCTTTTTCTAAATATTTATTTCTAAATGCTTTTTCTAAATCTAAATGTCCGGGCTGCTGTTGAATATACCGTATTATTTTAAACTGTGTTTATAGCGTATATCTTAGATCTTTTAGCGTTTCGTTTAGCGTTTGTTTAGCGTATACCTTATTTACTGTTTCTTTTTATACTTTATATTGTTGCTGGTTTTGAGTGTATCTGGGTCCTTGTGTACACAGTTTCGTTCCACCTCATGAACCACATGTGATGCAAATGACAGTAAAGAAATTGAACCTTGAAATGTTTCCATTTTTTTGTGAATTTTTCATGACCCAAATAATTTGCATAGACAAAAAGAGGAAAGAAGAAAAATGGTGAAAGATGATGACCATGTGACCACACCATATGCACCCCAGTATAATATGCCAACATATGCCCATAATGACGGTGTTGGAGCACTGACAGCACCTGACTTGCTCAAAGTTCAAATGTCAGCTATGACGAAAAAAATTCAGCCAGAACCTGGATGATCTTTGCAGGTGACGTCTTCAGGTATATCTTAAGAACGCAGTGGGCTCCCCAGCACCTGTGATAGAGTGTGGTAAGTCCAAGATAGCCTTCACACTGAAGGAGGTGTTATCAAATGTTTGCCATGTTCAGTTAGATCATGGAGAGTGTAGGAGGATCAGTATCCAGTATGAAGAGGGTCTTAATGTCCTAACATGTCACAGAGGGAGCAAAACTGAAACAATCCTTATTGTTTGCCCATCGGTTATCAGCTAAAGCAGTCATAAGAATGAAAATGGTTATTTAGTTTGGTTCAGATGATTACTTCTTTATCCAAGTGAGGAAAACATGTAGCTGTTCCTGTGAAGGTGTCTGCTCAGTGTGGAAAAACGCTGCGTCATCTTCTGCTGACTGCAGCTTCTGTAATGCACTCGCTGAAGGAGCGGTGGCAGTCTCTCCTAAGCTTGTCTATTGTTGCTCTTTATAAAGTATGCAGCCAGGATAAGTGATTGCATCAAGCTTTTTTTCTGACAGATGGTTGTGAGAACTCCCCATTCTGCATTTTGGGCCGTTCAAGCCAGAGCTCTGAGCCCTGAATTATTTAATCCCACAAACACAAGAATGCCAGAAAAACGCTTACACACACAGAGACAGGCTTCACACTGCAGCTGTCACCAGACTGATAGTAGACCTGTTGGATCGACATGGATCAAACCTTCACCAAATCAATAGAAAAGCATTTTGAACTGTAACAACAACTTATATTGAGAAATAAGGAAGCTGTCCGTGCGACCCGACCCCGGACGAGCAGAAGAAAATGGATGGATGAATGGATGCTGTGCGACGTGGGGTGCCTGGGGTGTGTGTTGTAAATTAGTTCCATCTATCACCACATCAAAATTTGACTGAACATCTGTAAAAGTTACTGCGGGGCGTAGTTACTTTTGTCCCTTGTAACGTTAAATGACTGTTGCAGCCATCTTGAACTGGACTGACTTCAGAAGTCAAAAACTTTCAAATTCATATTCTTAAAAATGAATGAAGCAAATTCAAACCAGAGAAGACTGGTCAGAGACTGAGCTTAAAATCTACGTAGTAATGGACTGTACTTGTATAGCGCCTTTCTATCTTAATTGGATACTCGGAGCGCTTTACACAACAATCTGTGTCCTCATTTAGCCATTCATACAGCACTCTAATACAGGTCCTTCTCAAAAAATTAGCATATTGTGATAAAGGTCATTATTTTCCATAATGTAATGATAAAAATGAAACTTTCATATATTTCAGATTCATTGCACACCAACTGAAATATTTCAGGTCTTTAACTGTTTTAATACTGATGATTATGGCATACAGCTCATGAAAACCCAAAATGCCTGTCCCAAAAAATTAGCATATTTCATCCCACCAATGAAAGACAAGTGTTTTTAATACAAAAAACTCCAACCTTCAAATAATCATGTTCAGTTATGCACTCAATACTTGGTCGGGAATCCTTTTGCATGAATGACTGCTTCAATGCGGCGTGGCATGGAGGCAATCAGCCTGTGGCACTGCTGAGGTGTTATGGAGGCCCAGGATGCTTCGATAGCGGCCTTAAGCTCATCCAGAGTGTTGGGTCTTGCGTCTCTCAACTTTCTCTTCACAATATCCCACAGGTTCTCTATGGGGTTCAGGTCAGGAGAGTTGGCAGGCCAGTTGAGCACAGTAATACCATGGTCAGTAAACCATTTACCAGTGGTTTTGGCACTGTGAGCAGGTGCCAGGTCGTGCTGAAAAATGAAATCTTCATCTCCATAAAGCTTTTCAGCAGATGGAAGCATGAAGTGCTCCAAAATCTCCTGATAGCTAGCTGCATTGACCCTGCCCTTGATAAAACACAGTGGACCAACACCAGCAGCTGACATGACACCCCAGTGACTGTGGAAACTTGACACTGGACCTCAAGCAATGTGAATTCTGTGTCTCCTCTCTTCCTCCAGACTCTGGGACCTTGATTTCCAAAATAAATGCACAATTTACTGTAATCAGAGAACATAACTTTGGACCACTCAGCAGCAGTCCCAGGCGAGATGTTTCTGACACAGTCTCTTGTTCAAGAGTGGCTTGACCTGGGGAATGTGGCACCTGTAGCCCATTTCCTGCACACGACTGTGCACAGTGGCTCTGGATGTTTCTACTCCAGACTCAGTCCACTGCTTCCGCAGGTCCCCCAAGGTCTGGAATCGACCCTTCTCCACAATCCTCCTCAGGGTCCGGTCACCTCTTCTCGTTGTGCAGCGTTTTCTGCCACACTTTTCCCTTCCCACAGACTTCCCACTGAGGTGCCTTGATACAGCACTCTGGGAACAGCCTATTCGTTCAGCAATTTCTTTCTGTGTCTTACCCTCTTGCTTGAGGGTGTCAATGATGGCCTTCTGGACAGCAGTCAGGTTGGCAGTCTTACCCATGATTGCGGTTTTGAGTAATGAACAAGGCTGGGAGTTTTTAAAAGCCTCAGGAATCTTCTGCAGGTGTTTAGAGTTACGTCGTTGATTCAGATGGTTAGGTTAATAGCTTGTTTAGAGAACCTTTTCATGATATGCTAATTTTTTAGGACAGACATTTTGGGTTTTCATGAGCTGTATGCCATAATCATCAGTGTTAAAACAATTAAAGACCTGAAATATTTCAGTTGGTGTGCAATGAATCTGAAATATATGAAAGTTTCATTTTTATCATTACATTATGGAAAATAATGACCTTTATCACAATATGCACATTTTTTGAGAAGGACCTGTATATATTTTCAAAGACTAATCAGAGCTTTATCACATTCATACACCGATGGGACACACATCGGAGGCAATGAGAGGTTCAGTGTCGTGCCCAGGGACAGTTCGGCATGTGACTGCTGGTGGAATCGAACCCTCAACTCTTGCATTGGATGACGACTGCTCTAACCGCTCAGCCACAGCCGCCCTAGTTGGAAAACATTGCGAAACCAGTCAGATTCACGCAGTGTCTCAGCTGCCAAATCAAAATGTGAATAAAACTCATCTACATTTATTTTGGATTCAGACTGTGTGTCCGATCAGAATTAAATTAAATCAAAGATCTATCTACAACAGGTGAGATCGTGAGTGTTCATAACTTTTACACACAACTCAATTTCAGAAACTTTGAATGTTTCCATTAAACTCTTTTCTAAACACACTACTGTACATTTGTTGTTTCTTTGAAAACGGTGTGCGCGCGTGCGTGCGCACGTGTGTGTGTTTGTACGGGTGGTGTCACGTCAAACTGACCTCTGACTTCAGTGGAGAAGTGTGCAGAGTGGCGAGTTATAAACAGCTGCAGCTGCTGATCAAGGTCGCAGATCTTCAGATCGATGTCCCAGGATCGAATTCCTGCCAGGACGGAGCAGAAAGAGCGGTGAGCGTGAATGAACCGACGTCGGACAGACACACGGACATCTGTGAAACTGAGCGAACCCGTCTGGGCTACCTTCCCATAACAGCGAGCTTCGCTTACAACACGTTTTCACACAAACGTTCTCCCTCGCACCGTTTTCGTGAACGTGATGCAACCTTCTACCATCTGCTGTGCAGCCTCTTCACTTCCTCCCACCTTCTCCCCACAGATTCATCCAAACAGTCCGAGCAGCTGGGAGCATCCACGAGCAGAAGACTTTACACTGTGGACTATCAGCTCAACACAAACCCCGACTGTTGACTAAAACTTGGCAAATGTAAACTTTTGGTCTTGTTTCAAATCCTTTTAAACTTATTTCATCTTTTTTTTTTTTTTAGTTTCCATGAGCCTGAAATTTGTGATAAATGTGAGATAACTTTGTGAAGATTTGACATGAAACTGATTTACTGTCTGATGTGAAACAACAGTAAGAGCCGAACATTGAAGGCACCACGAGGCCCAGCTTCTCTTCAGGTGTTCCTGTCAGCCTCCTCCAGGTTGAGGTTTTCATCCCGCGGCTTCTGCGCTTCTTTTCTCAGGACCGTATCGCTTCGTATCTGTTAGCAAAATAACAGCTGGACTGTGGAGATGACCCGTGTTTATTGATCCACATTTCTCAATTGAACTATCGCACCACTGTTGCATGACACTCTTAAATACCGTGGCCCTAAGGTGTCAGAGTCAGAGTTTCTTTATTGTCATTCGCACCTCATGTGGTACATGTGGTGGAGCGAAACTATGTACACAGGGTCCCAGTTACATCCAACAATAAAATGTAAAAGAAAAACAGTAATAACATCTAAGATATGAACTAAGAAAAACATCAACTTAATATACACTAAGCACTCATAACATAAAACATTGAACATCAGCACAAACATGAACATGAGTCTGTGAGCAGATGTGCACGCATGAACACATCAACATTGAAACAGATCAGCAGCAACATGAAACAGATCAGCAGCAGCATGATGCGGTTTTTCACAGTGGTTATTCTGGTTAGAGATTCATGAGTCTAACAGCCTCAGGGTAGAAGCTGTTCCTCAGTCTAGTGGTTCTACACTTAATGCTCCTTAACCTCCTTCCTGAGGGGAGTGGGGCAAAAAGTGTGTGTGCTGGGTGAGTGTGGTCCTTCATGATGCAGGTGGCTCTCTTCCTGCATCTGAAGGTGTAGATGTCTGTGATGGTGGGGAGAGTGACTCCAACAGACTTCTGTGCAGCCTTAAATGAACAACGTTTGAAAAAACACAGCCCTGTGATGGACTGAACTTATTTAGCACCTGTCTATCTGATCAAGACACTCAAAGCTCTTTACGCTACAATCTGTGCCGTCATTTACTCTACTAGATCTCTACAAAGCTAATTGAACAAATCATTCTAAAGAGACTAATCAGAGATTTATCACATTCATACACCGGTGGGACACACATCAGAGGCAACGAGGGGTTCAGTGTCTTGCTCAGGGACACTTCAGCATGTGACAGCTGGTGGAGTCAGACCCCCAACTCTTGCATTGGAGGATGACTGCCATAACCCGTTAGCCACAGCCGAGCAACTGACTCCTGTGTGCCTCCTGGTTAGATCTTTGGACTCCATGTGAGTTCTTCAGCCGTTCCTCGCCTTCGCCTTCGTGTGCGGTGTGGGTGACCCGCTGCAGGCCTAACAGCTCCACACACGGCACAGGCGTAACGTGTTGGTAATGAGAGCCGACGGCGGGTCCCTCACTGACTCACACTGAAAACACCGACCTGGGTGAAATAATCAATGCTGCAATGAGTTAGGTGGGTGTGATGTAGAGCACGCCACAGAGCAGCAGCGCTGTCAGCTGCAAAAAGAGGAGATTAGAATCAGAGGAGAGGAAAGGAGCTGGACTGGGCTTCTTAACACACTCTGGGCAGTGGACAGCTTACTGACAGGAGATCAGCTGAAACTGTTTCCAAAGTTAAAGTCTGTGGCAGGAAGGCTGCAGCCTGCCTCTGGAGGAGGACGAGGAGCGGGGTCTGAGCTCTCACAGGGCTCACATGTTCAGCGGGTGATGACGGCAGAGGTGAGCCGTTTACGAATACGTTTGTTCAGCCACATCATGATCCGAGCCCAGTTCTGAAAACAGCGTAACCCTAACGTGTAAAATATAAATCAAATTTACGCATATTTTATTCACAACGGAACGAAGTGAACATATCAACTGTTCAGACTGAGAAACTGCCTGAGGCCCGAGGATCGTCAGATATTGACCTGCAGTCGTTTTGAGCACAGAGGTTTCTTAAACTCTTTGGATGATGTCATGACGGGATCTTCAAACCCTTCCCAACGTTCTGGTCCATTATTCTGAAGTTGCTCTGCCACTTTCCAGTCGATTGTTTTGCAGCACGGTGAACCTCTGCCCATCTTCACTTCAAAAAACACGCTCAGTCCTGTTGCTGCCAGTTAACTTAATTAATTATAAAAATGCTCCTCCAGCCGTTTTTTTTAATACAACTTATGTTTGTTGCACCTGTTCTGTCTTCTTTAAGATTGTTGCTGCCAACAAATTCAAAACAGTTTTTTTTAAATGGTACATTTCTTAGTTTGAACTTTTGCCAAGATTCCACTGTGAATGAAATATAGGTTCATAAGATGTTCAAATCATTGTGATGTGCTTTGGTTAAACATTTAAGATCCCAACTTTTAGGATTATGAACAGGTAAACGGATAAAAACCCGTACGAGCTCAGACAAACTAAATACAGCTGCTGGATGCTGATTCAAATGTGTCAATCTTTTTTTTTTTTGTCTTGGTCTGATGAAGCAGAGGCCTCAGGCACCAGAAATCATCCTGCTAAAAATAAAAAGCCATCACAGACTGAGTCTGCAATTTTCCAGTCGTGCACAGCGCAGCAGGGTTGGGGGAAAGGCTCGAGTCCCATGGTGCAGTGCTGCAGCATCCATCCAGTCCTGTTCATTGCGTCAAAACCACCTCTCTCCTGCAGCTTTAAACCCTTCAATGTTCCTCTGAACCTCCATCCCGAGGCTGAGCACTAAATCTAAGTGATGCAGCGGTGTTCCGTCCATCACTCACCCCGCTCTATCTGGGCTCTGGCCGCGTCCAGCTGCAGCTCCGAACCCACCTCCCCGATCACCACCAGCAGGTAGTAGCCGCTCCGGTTGAACGGCAGCCCGCGCCGCCGGCTCCCTCCTCTTCGCCGGTGCCGGAATCGCTCCTCGAACCCCGGAGTGCTGCAGCCCTCGTCCTCCTCCACCACCGGGAGCGGCGCGCATCGCATCTCCATGGCAACAGCTCCTGGAGCAGACGCAGCGGCTGCTTCCATCGCCATGACAACTGACCGCAGCGAGAGAGGGGAGGCGTGTGGAAGGCTGGGGAAGGAGGCTTTTGGGGTGGGGGGAGACAGCAGTAGGTTAAACCGGGACAGGAAGTTATTAATGAGCTTTCAAATTAAGAGCACTTTGTTAAAGGAAAGGTGTTCACTGAACTTTAAAATAATTTGTCCTAACATGTTGAACAGGAACTCACAAGCTGTTTAAAATTACCGTAGACATTAAAATCAATAAGAATTAATGCCAAATACTTTTTTTTTAAATTTAAACGTGCAAATTCACGAATTATCTGTTCGTTTTTAAGAAAAACGCATAATTTTTGTATAGAAGCCGAGATGCTTCTTTACAAATGTAGTCATTGATTCATTCAGGTGCGCAGGTCCATTCACCTTTACCTGGGGACTCGTTTACAAGAGAGACCTGAATTTTAACAAAGAAAGGTGACAACAACAACGACAACAATAGACAATCAAAAAAGATGCGTACAAATGAATTTTTTTAACAAGTGAAAATAAATGGTAATTAAAAGGATAACTGAAAGGAAAAGTAGTGAAAAAACAGGGAGATTATAAGGCGGTGTAAAATACTCAAAAAGGAACATGTCTGCATTGTTTGTTTTCCAGGAACTTAGCAGATTCACAAATACTAGCTGGAGATCACTTCCACCACAGATCCTTCTATATTGGGGGAGGGGGGGGGGGGGTAGATGTGTTTGTTCCATCTGAAGTCCACGACCATTTCCTTCATCTTCTTCACGTTGATGTGAAGGTTGTTCTTCTTGCACCAGCTCTCCAGGTGTTCCACCTCCTGCCTGTAGCTGGACTCATCATTGTTTGTGATGCATCCCACCACCTCTGTATCATCTGCAAACTTTACAATGTGACAGCCTGGATGGGTAGCTGCACAGTCATACGTGAGCAGAGTGAACAGGAGAGGGCTCAACACACATCCCTGAGGACAGCCAGTGCTGAGGGTTATGGTGGAGGAGGAGAAGTCGTAGATCCTCACTGACTGTGGTCTGTTTGTTAAGAAGTCCAGGACCCAGTTGCAAATGGAGGGGCTTAGTCCTAGCTTGAAAGAGCCGCTGCAGAGGGACCAAAGAGCTGCAAAAGTTAATCAGTGTTTTATGCTGACTTCACTCGTCATGTGACCTCACTGTGGCAGTTAGAGGCTGTGAAGAGTTCTGTCAGTGTTGTTCAATGAGAAAAACGGTGGCTTTGTTTGCAAATTACGTCACCATGGTAACTCAAATAGTCAATAATAGTAATATGTTAGATGTAATAGGTAATGACAGTGCCGAGCCGGTCGTTCCGATATAAAATTTGTGGGGGTAAATGTTGCGGTTCGGGCCACATTAAAGTTGAAGGAATAACAAGAACCTTCTCAGGTGGATGATAATAATAGGTGGCTGCTGGCAGTCCCCAATAAGAAAGTGCATGAGTTTAAAAAGCTTCACAGAGAAATGATCCTTATTCCAGATTTCTCCTGCTAATTCTGACATTCAGTGCAGATTATCTCTGTATAAACCATCTGAGCAGAGGCTAAAACTAATGTGCATGTCTTATATTTTCCCCTTTACTGCCAAAGAGCACTGAAGTGTTAGATACTTTATGTTTCCTAAATTTACTAAAAGTATATTTTATAAAATCTCAGACCACTGCTTGAAAAAACAAAGACAAAATTCAGGTTGTATCCCCATTCTTTGGCTGTAATAAAGCAAAGCCTGGACGTCGTCAGCGGTGTTAGCAGGAGCTGCAGTCAAAGACAAACAGGGTCCTGCTGAGGACACCTTTTCTGGACATTTTTACTTTAGGTTTCTCTGACAGTGAGTCAGCACTTCAGTGTGGAGCAGCTTCTCCTCAGATGTGCTTCCCTCTAGTGGTAACATCCAAAGAGTCAGACCCACCACAAGTCCAGAGATGATCTGTGGGTTACCATTGGTTTACTGATATAAATTGTTCAGTCTCTTATTGAAGCTTGAAAATTAGCAAGAGGTGTAATAAAAAAATCCTGAAGAAATAAAACCAACTTTAAAATGTCACTTGTTCATGGCTGTTCCCAGATTATTTACCTGATTCATACTTCATTCCATCTCAGAATCAGCTTTATCATTGCGCCGAAGCACAACGAAATTACATTTCAGTACAGCTCGTCCGTGTAAAACATAAACCAACAGACATGGGGGGGACGGAGGTGTCTGAGGCCGCGGTCCCGTGGGAGGCGCAGACTTTTTCATTTAGGTAGGAAAAGAGAAACGCAGGGGGAAGGGGAGGTATAAAAAATCATATCTTATCATATCACAGTGTGAAAGTTGAAAAAAAAACTCTGCACAGAAACATGAACATACTGATGACATCATAATACGTATGAGTGCATGAGGAAGGCCGACAAAGGTGGTGAGTTTGTCCGTGGACACTGCCAGATAGTTCCATAGTCCTGATAAGATGGTGCAGTGTCTATCAGTTGGCTCAGCTCTGATACCGGTCCACAGATGTCCTCAGGAAGGGAGCAGGTAGGGGAGGGGGGAGCAGAGCTTGTTCACATGACATCCATGGGAGTTTGGGATAGTTGGCCAGTTCAAGGCATGGAGGAGCCAGATTCAGAGAAGTTATTTGGGTCAGGCCGACTCTACTTGATTTCTGTCTACTGGGACGTCTTAATGGCGACTCCAAACAGCCACATTTTTGTGTTCAGCACCGCTGGGCTGAGCTTGTAGCTTCTCCAAGGTCGATTCCTTCTCGCCAACGAGTTTCAGGAGCCGCAAGTGGCCTGTGATTCATAGAAATTGCGTCCAGCTTACGGCTCAGCGCACACAGCATCTGAGTCCGAGTGCTCACCGCACGGCACATTCCTTCATACAAGCCGGACAGCCTGACAATGGCCAGAACAGCTGTCAATGTTTTCCGTATTTGTTGATATGCCAGATACCCGCCAACTCCAGAAATCAGAAATCCTGTTATCATAAATTCAATTATGTACACATCTTCTAAATCCTCAACGGACAATACAGACACACGATCTTCCACTGCCCCCAGGAATCCATTGTGTATCCAGCTGCAAGTGCCCCATTGGGGCAGGAGGGCTCTCTTTCGCCCTGTCTTCTCGTCGAAAAAATTGTATCAATTGCGTTGAGAGACCAGCTGACCAGATCCATAATTTCCAATTTGGAAGACATGTAAAGAGAAGCTCCGATAGGGTTCACAGGACAAAGAGCAAAGCAGGAGGGAAGCAGGAGCGGGAGGGAAAAGCGTCCACCTTTGTCAAGAGCAAGCAAGAAAACCAATATTATCTTAAAGGTATGAACAAATATCTTACCTGTTGTAGCTTGTTCTTTGGAGAAACACAGATTATGGCCAGATTGAGAAGCTAACAACTTGTGAGGATGGGGTCAAGCACAAACGGTCTTGGTCCCATCCAAAAACAACTCCAATATCCACTTTTTTATGCATGTATTTTCCAAACCTGTATAAAAATTACATTTTCTCTCTGATGCCAACCAAGATCAGGCTCGACAAACTTTTAAAATGAACGATATTAAGATTTTGTATATTTCTAGTATCATCATCTGGACTTGGAGCAACTTTGTTATTGATCTTGCTATGGGGGAGCGCAGAGGTTACAAGATGGGCTTGTGATCGGAAAGTCGCAGGTTCACCTCCCGGTACAGTCAACATCAAAATGTGGGTGGAAAAGGTGAAACACCCACACCTGCCTCCACCCTCATTCGCCCCACTCTGGGTCCCTGAGCAAGGCCTTTAACCCCCACCATTTGCTCCCTAAACAGGTCCCTCTTGAAAATGAGTTCTCATGGCTCAATGAGACTACCTGGATAAATAAAGGGTCAATGAAAAAAAAATAATCCACTGTTGTTATATTGTTATTCCTGTAGAAATATTGTGAAATTCTGACTGGAAGTGTTACATACAGTGCTACAGATATGGTAGTATATTTCCACTGGACATAACCACAAAATGCCAAATTTCATGGGAATGTAAATACTTGAAACTGTTATAACATTTTTAAATTAGAACCTGACCTGGGAAACATGTAATAGTGCAATGTATCCAGCAGAGGGTGCATGAAGACTACTTTCAAGTCATGGCCTTAAGTTTCACTTTTGACGTTCAGCACAAATGAAGCAGGGAGCAATACTGTGTCGCGTATTTCAACAATTTCCTGCGGGATCAATAAAGTTTTATCTTATTTTGCTGAACAGAGCATGGTGAGTTTATTTTAACTGATCTGTAAAATAAAAAAAATAAATTTTCTTCAATCTTCCAATCCACTTGTCATTGGCTACGCGCCTCTCAAGTTAGCGTTAATTGCACCACCTCCACAACATCAGCCCCGCTATCAGTCGTTATGGCAACAGTCCTGTTGGACTGAGCTTCCAGTTTGAGGACATCCAGTTAGTAACATGATCTTTGTTGTCCTCAGTGGAATGCATTGTCTGAAATCTTTACTTCTCTACAAAGAGAAACTCTGCTGTGGTCAATACTAATTAGACATTCACCATACGTGACTGTTTTAACAATGATCAGGGAAGGGGTTTTCTTTGTTTAATTTAATTGTAACACACTTGATAACTTTATGGTGAATAATGGAGGTTAGAAAATGTGAATGCATGTTATGATGTTGTTTTTATGATCTATTTATTTTATTATGAACTATTTCTATAATCGAAGTTTGTTCAAATAGCTTTCTGCTACAGGTAGGATATTGACCGTTCATAAACTTTCAACAGAACCCCCACACAAAAATTTCAAGTATTTTTTGAGGATCAAAGTTGATTTTAGTGTTTCAGAGAAGCAACACAGCAGATAATCTTGAGCCACAACCTTTAGTGTGAAAGTGTCTTTGCCTTGTCCTCTTCTGAACGAGCAATGTTGTCTCAGAAGACGGAGAACTTTTATTAATTCCACTCAGATGAATCACAGCTCACAAAAACATGCATCTGAATCCATCATCTTAAGGACTGAATAAATGAGCTGCAACTTTAACTGAGAGCAAAGCATTTTATTAGTTGCAAATTCAACGTTTTATGTACAAAAGGCACAGAGTCATGATCCTCCAATACAATGCAGTCAGGTAAGGGTTAAAAATCCTTACACTCAAAAGTATTTGGTACGAAGAACACCAGAAATCAAATGAATTTGCAACTTTTACAATGTTACTTTGAAAAGTTTGATCCAAGTTTTAAACCAGTACATCAAATAAACACACATCCATGTTTTTCCTAAGAGATTCTGTGGAAAATATACAACCGTGCGCAAATAATTTAGAGCTCTGCGCCCACAATACAAGTCAGACTTTTGAAAGCCCAACACTTAGATAAAGCAAATGAAAATGTAGGATCTTTGCCAGTAAATTAAAACTTTAAATCTGCCCATAAAATGCTGAATGTTGAAATGAAAACAAAATGTATCCTCATCCAGCATTACATGATAATGAGATGATTGGCCTTTAACTCATATTGGACTTTATGAGGTCATGTCAGTGTGGTCGAGACATTATTTAATATTTCCTAATTTCAACTGAAGCGCTTTCAAAAGAAATCTACAGTACTGATAAATTAAAGAATGAAAATAAATCTAATGATTAAATATGGAATTTAGATGAAGAAAAATGAAGTTATCGTATTTTTCGGACCACAAGGCGCACTTAAAGTCCTTTCATTTTCTTTAAAAATCGACAGTAAGCCTTAGGTATTAAATCTGGTTGTGCTTACTGACCTCAAACTGATTTTATGCGGCACACGGTGCTCAAAAAACTGTCAAAATTAACTTGTTTTGCTTAATGCGCCTTATAGTCTGAAAACTACGGTACAGTCTCAGTATGCAACGGTTAGGTCGAATGAAATTTGTTTTGTAAAAGCATGAAACTAAAGCAGCTCTATTTTCTTCTGCAGATGTTCAATTATCAGTTTGTTTCTGTACTGATAGTTCACTCCAGATTTTAATCCCTCTTAGTATTATCCAGGCTGAACAATTAAAAATTGTATGATTTTTTAATAAACTTCTTCCACATGAAGTCGAGACAATGTGCAGCACAGAAAACCTGCACGCGACAGAAAACTGCTTCTGAGGCAGAACACAAGTGAATCAATGACAAACATTTATTACAGTTCCATGAACAATGTGAAGAAACACAAGCACACCACCATCCACACACACACACACACACACACTTAAAGAGCACGGTCACAAAGTGATGACAAAATATACAAAGCAAAAAGGCGCTAAAGTAGCAATCAGTCATATTCATTTGTGTTTTCTGTCCCAGTTGTCCATGTACGACTTTACACTCCACTCATTTTCTCAATCCGCACAGAGCCAGACAAGGTCGCCCTGCAGGGCGACTCTGGATGTGAAATCCAGAAGCTACTATGGAAAGTTACCCATGAACTCACGGTAGAGGCTAAAAATAAAAATGGCCTCACCTGGCTCAAGGTCTATACATTAGAAGGTCAGATTAGAAGTTCTAGAAACCCAGAACAGCTGAGCACTGATGCTGCTCAGGTAGAATCCCTGCAGGGGTTGTTGCCTGCAGACCTTGTGCATCATGGTTGTTCATCACAAGTGCAGTGTTTTCACCTAGACCTTATAACATACAGACCTTGACCTGCAAGAAGGAGCTCCTTTCAGCTCGTTCTACACTTAGTTGTTTCCACTGTAAGCTCCCTGGGCAGCAGCTGAAGCTGCTCCGCTGGCTGCGGTCTGAAATGTTCTACTGCTCAAGACACCCTCCGACAGTTCCTGCTGGGCCTTTTGGAAACTGGCCCCGGTGCGGCGGTACAGGCCATGGACCTGAGGAGGGAGGAAGTGGGAGAAGGTGAGTGATGACACTTAGCGCCACAGGTCTTAGACCAGCGAGTTTTGTTCATGAAATTATTAATTACACTACGAATGTTTTGAACTTCACTCCACCACATGGTTATGGAGTTATATTTGTGTTAGAGTGTTACTGATGCGCTCGTAAATAATCTGAGCAAAGAATAGTTGGACAAATTTGTTTCCAAAACGTAAACTCCTTTAATACGTCGTCCTCTCGACGGGCGTTTAAAACGTGAACGAGCTCTTACCATCTTCAGCAGGACGACAGACGTGGCAGCACACATGGTGAAGAGGATGGCCACTATGATCATGATGATTCCTGCTGCCATGTGTGAACCGAATACAGATAAGGCAGAGATCCAGCCGCTGGAATCAACAACAAACAAATAAATAAAAAAAATGTTTTAACTGATATTGTCAGCATAAATAAACTGAAAGAAATCAAACACAGATAAACATAAAGTATAAAGTACTCGGCTAACAGGACCACGCCACCAACAGTGTTTTTATAATGCTATTTTTATTTAAATTGCTTTTTATTGTCGTTTGTCTCTTGAGTGAGAGCGCCTGTATAAATAAAGGTTAAATAAAGACGATACCTGGACTTTTCTGTGCAGTTTGTCAGAAAGCATGCGACTCACCTGTTGCCCCAGGAGGGGATGCCCACGGCTTGGACGATGAAGATTACAACTTGGACGAAAAACACAAAGAAGAAGAAGAAGTAGTTGAAGGAGCTGTCGGTCCTAAACAAACAGAAAACAAATCACACATTAAAATCACACAAAATGTGTTATGAGCTTAAACTTTATCATATCAAGTGCTACATTTAAAATAAAAATTTAAACAAGCATTTTTCACTTTGAACTATAATTTTTAACAGTTTTCAATCGACTATGAAGCTAAAATGTGATGCGTCAGCCGGTTTTTATGCTTTACTCTCTATATTTGGTATTATCGATATCAATGACACAGAGTAACATTTTCAATAACTTCTCAATAAGGATTTTCCCTCATTTTCCTTTTTTCACCAACAAATACACATAAAATATTTAGGTTTTTCAGACTTCCTAGGTTTTTAAAGCTCCTTCAAAAGATGCTTTAGGTAAGATTATGCATTTAAAGAGTTCCTAATTTGAAGCAAATGTCAAACAAACACTGCACATTACAAGTGAAAGTCCAAAATAAAGGACTATCAAATGTTGACAACTGGATTTCAGCTACTTTTTAAAACCTTTTGACTCTTAAGGACCAAAAGAAATGAATTAATTTAATCTAATTAATTAATTGCCATTTGAATCTACAGCAATTTTCGTTGTATAAGTCGCAGTGTTTTGCATAAATTAGCATGCCCTGCGACTTATACGGCAAAGCAACGCATTTGTTTTTATTCTAATTTTTATAACAATTTTTGGCTGAGATTTGACGATTTCATTCATTCCGACATGGAAAATATTGAACGCCACCATTTTCAGCCACTAGAGGGCCCTCAGCTCATATGGCACGCCAAGTTTCTCACTAATAGGTAAAAGTCACTGTTAATGAGACACTTGGCTTGCCGTACGAAGCCACCTTCATCTCGCTCCGGACTCCTGGAGCAAACGTCATATTAGCCACCCAGGCGAAATGCAGCTGATTCGACAATTAAAGTACATTTATTAAGTAAAAGTAAAAACTGATACACCTTTGCTATAATGTCGAGCAAACATTTGTTCTTAAAAGTGTTAATCTTGTTAAATTCTTGTTAAAGTCCTCCCGTGCACGCTCCCGCAGCCACCATCTTGGCAGCCAATCGATTTTTGGCACAACACCGGCCCACGTTTCCGGGTTGTCAGTGGTGACGCGTAATAGATGCGACTTAAACGGCGAAGCCACGTATTTATGGATTTTTCCACTTTATTAGACATATTTGGACGGATGTGACTTATATGGCAGTGCGACGTGTACGGCGGCAAGTACGGAAATTACAAGCGGTACGCTGAAGTCCCTCATCGCTGAGGGGGTTGAATAGTGAATGTTTGTGGTTTTCAAGATGAGTTTTTTCTGAACTAGAACTGAACAAGAAATGCAACTTTAATAATTTGGGTCAAAGACATTCAAGTGGATAGAAGTTGCAGTTTGTATAAGGTTTATAAGAGGTCTTTTTTGCTTGTATGAGGAGCGCAGAGTGATGGATCGTGGCGAGTGGAGGGAGCAATCTTTATCCACGGCCAGGTGTAATGGCAGAGCATCATCATCACCTTCACCAACGCCAATCATGACGCTTTCTAGTTTTTATTTTGTTTAAAAGGTATAGTTTCCTCAAATTACAGGGGTGGCCAGTGTACATATGTATACGGCGGTGGCCATCTTGGATTTTGACGTGGCAACCCAATTTTGATAGTGACCGATCTTTTACAATTTATACTTTTGTTGGATGCAACTGGGACCCTGTGTACACAATTTCGTTCCATCACATGCACCACGAGACGCGAATGACAATAAAGAAACCTTGAGCTTATGCCTAGTTGCAGCCACATAAGAAAGTGGAGATCAGTACGTTTCTTTTATTTGACCCAACATTTGAGCAAACTATACATTTAGGAAATATAAAAACTAAAAAACAAAGTTTCCTGAAATGATTAGGGTGGTCGGTTTACATATATATATACACTGGTACGTATATGGTATCAGACATCTTTGATTTTGCAACCCTATTTTTGAAAGGAACATTTCTTACTCTTAGTTGCAGCCACACACCAAAATGAAAGTCAGTATCGCACGTATTTTTCAAGTTACCACGCTCACAACATGCACAGATGGACAGTGGGCTTTTCCATTTCCTCTTTGCTCTGCGACGGGGGGCAAAAAGATGATCGCCTTACAGGCATTCTCTGCACAGCTTCAAAGATCCACACATACTGCACAGCTGCTTTCATAGCGGAGGACGCACCTGAAGGCCTTGTAGACAGGGCGGTACCAGCACATGAAGGAGCAGGGAGCAAAGAGAACGAGCCAGAGGATGGAGAGGCCGAAATCGACTCCGTGGTCACCGGTGGTGAAGTAAGCCAGGCACGCCAGCAGGTTGAGGAACAGAGTCATACAGTGGACTAAAAGAAGAAACGTTTGAGTTTTAAAAATATCTGCTTCAAGTCGGGCTGAATCGGAGTCCGTGCTGCTGCGAGACGAGCAGAGCTCCACACCATCACAAAACTTAAAACATTTTAATTAGACGATTAATACACACATTCACATGCATCTAATCAGTGGAGCAAGGGGAGCAGCTGCACCCCGTTTTTGAAGTGGAGGTGCAACCCCCCCACGCTGCTCTTATACTGTGATGCACTTAGCTCAGAAGTCAACAAGAGTACTACATATGGCACATTATACACCCGTCAACAAACTTATGAAGGAGTATTTACAGCAATGGCACGAACAAGTAAAGCCTTGTATATAGGTCTGTCACGATAACAAATTTTGCTGGGCGATTAATTGTCTCAGAAATTATTGCAATAAACGATAATATTGTTTGAAATTTCACAATTAATTGTCAAATTTTAGAAGAAATGTTGATTCGTTTGGCGTGTAGTACCTGCTTTGACCACCTGGTGGCAGTATAAGACTGTTTGACCCAAAGGATGGATAGTTGAGCAGTGTCTCCAAGAAAAATGGGAGGGAGGGCCCTTGACGTGACATGGTGAGTCATGGCAGACGTACGGTGGTTTGAGCTCTTTAGAAAAGCATTTTTCACACAAAGCTTTTAATTAAAACAATCAGTAAACAAGTTCTCAGCTTCTTTTTGCAGAGAAAAACAACTTTTTACACGAAGGCACGAGTTTCAACTGTGAATTTTGGAGCTTCGACAAAACGGAGGTTTATTCCCGAGGTCGGCCTGTTAGCTTAGCTGTGTTTAACGATCCAAAAACACAATTTTGGACGGTTAAAACAGATTTAAAAGAGAAAGTGAGGAGTCAGTGAAGACCGGAGTTGAGCCTTTTGTCATCCAGTGTCTTCAGTAGAAAGAGAGAGACAGGAAGAAACGATAAAGCTGATAAATGAAAATGAGGTTGATAATTGTCATTTATCGTGATTAATTGATTTATTGTTTATCGTGACCTACTTGTATAACCTTAGATCTTGATTTCACCTTGACCTATATGCGTTTGTTTCATTAAATTGTCTCGAGCAGAACTTATTGACTGGACAAGAGAAAGTGTACAGACGTACAGACAGAGACTTTATCATAAAACATCTGCTTATGAACATTAAATCTAAGAATGAGATCCCTGCCACCTTAACTGTTTCAGTTGCACGTTAGAAAACCAGCAGGATTTGCAAACCATAGTGCTCAGAGACCTGGCCGACAGTTATTAGAAATATAAACCAATAATGCATTTTTCTTTAATTAATCAATGTTGCAATTAATCAAGATTATAAAGATGGGGACCAAAATGTTCCAGCACAAAGTTTCTTCCCTTCCACCATTTAAAGGAGCCTTAAAGTTGAGTATGCAGTGTATGTAGAACATGCTGCACCCCAGATCACGAGGGCGAAGCATTTCCAACCCCCTGCCCCGACACATGCTATACTAAAAATTTATACCACAATGTGTCTTATAAAAGAAAAGTGAGAAGTGGTGTGACGTTACTAAAGGCAGCAGCCTGTCAAATAAAGACATGGCATTAGAAAAAAAAAGTTTGTAAGTAAGACTGTCACGATAAATCAATTAATCACATGATATATGAAAATTATCAACCTTGTTTTCATTTATCGGCTTTATCGTTTCTTCGGGTCTCTCCTTCTACTTGGATCGTTAAAAGCAGCTAAGCTAAGAAGCTAAGCTACGAGCTAAGCTAACAGGCCGACCTTGTGAAAAAAACCTCCGTCTTGTCGAAGCTCCAAAATTCACGGTTGAAACCCGTGCCTTCGTCTAAAAAGTTGTTTTTCTCTGCAAAAAGAAGCTGAGAACTTGTTTACTGATTTTTTTATTAAAAGCTTTGAGTGAAAAATGCTAAAGAGCTCAAACCACACAGAGCATCCGCTATTTTGAGAACAGAAGAAAAGAAAGAGAGACAGCCCATGTCACGTCAAGGGGTCTCCCTCTCATTTTTATTAAAGAGACGCGCTGCTCGCTCCCTCACTATCCATCCTTCGGTTCAAACAGTCCAACACTGCCATCCGGTGGTCAAAAAAGGTACTACACTCAAAACAAATTACCAACATTTCTTCTTAAATTTGACAATTACTAATTATTGACAAATTTCAAACAATATTATCGTTTATCGCGATAATTTCTGAGACAAATAATCGCCCAGAAAAATTTGTTATCGTGGCAGGCCTATTTGTAAGCTCGATCATCCAGGTAGATAACAACAAATGTTAAATCGTGTCATCTGGACCAGTTTCTTTAAGGGAGAAACTTTTTGCCTTTCATCCGAGACACTTCATCAGTCCGTTAGCTGAAGCCGGCCTGCAGGATGCCTTCACAAGCTGGAAGCTCAACCCCACTGGACTGGTTCCCATCATTTCTGACAACTGGACTAATCATTAGTGAGTGAATATTAAAATATATATATTATTATTATTATGATTAATATTTAAAGATTTAAAGGATGATGCTGCTCCACTTGCACCACTGATCAGACATCTGAGCATATATTCAATTATACATTTTATAGCATGATTATAAAAAAAAAAAAACACAGCAAAGGTTGACTCATAACTAAAAATGTGATGTACTCACACATCCAGAGATAGTATATCATTTTGCAGACCCTCCGGTACTGTTCAGGGATTTCCTCTGAGAAGTCCTGATAAAAACATGGTTTGACGGGGAAGAACTTAGGAAGTGGAGGCCAGTTGTTCTCTTTACCTGTCGAGACAAGAGGCCGCTTGTCTTTAATAGAATCTGGCACAGCAGAAAGAGTTAGACCAGCTCTGCAAACTCTTTTCACTCAGGCTGAAACTACAACAGGAAATACAATCACGTGACGCATGCCTGGAAGTGTGTGGGAGCTGAAAATGTTGTCAAACTATCCTTAAAATACAACATGAAGAGTTGGAACGAGTGAAATCCAGGACTGAAACTAAGAGTCATAACATTTACATAGAAACATAAATAGGGACCATTTTTATGCAGGCCAATATCAACTTAATAGAATAGTAGAAACTGAAAGTTCTTACAATTTAATACATGGTTACTATTTTTTAAATACTTCCTCGGGGTTTTGAGTGTATAGTTGAGGCTTCTCAGAGCTGCTTGTGTATTTTCACTGTAAGGATTTGCAGCTTCACAAAGCATCATCAACACAAAATGCACACGCAGCAGAAGGTTTTCCTGTCTACGTAATGTGTGCTGCTTGTGGCGCTGCGGAGAGGAGGGGGTTTCAACTTTAATGACCTGTTGAGGATCTGCTCTGGAGCTCGCGCTCTCTGCGGTCCAGCTCGGCAGCTTTTCTTTCTAGATCCTCCTGCTGTTTCAGCAGAGTGGCCTGAGCCGCAGCAGCAGATGCCTAAAGGAGGGAAGGAGAGTCAAAAACAGTTGAAACGACACTTTTACATTTACAGGACGTGATCTTGGCGACAACAGACGCTGTTGAGCATCGACATGGAATCAGCTGGTGCAGAGAAGATGCTGCGACGATTCAGAGTAGCATCCACAGGAAAGCTCAAAGCAAGAGTCGTTCTATCAACTCGTTTAAACTACAAACCGGACTCCAAAAAAGTTGGGACACTAAACAAATTGTGAATAAAAACTGAATGCAATGATGTGGAGGTGCCAACATCTAATATTTTATTCAGAATAGAACACAAATCACAGATCAAAAGTTTAATCTGAGAGAATGTATCATTTTAAGGGAAAAATCTGTTGTTTCCAAATTTCATGGCGTCAACAAATCCCAAAAAAGTTGGGACAAGTCAATTTTTCCCACTGTGTGGCATCCCCCCTTCTTCTTACAACACTCAACAGACGTCTGGGGACAGAGGAGACCAGTTTCTCCAGTTTAGAAATAGGAATGCTCTCCCATTCATGTCTAATACAGGCCTCTAACTGTTCAATCGTCTTGGGCCTTCTTTGTTGCACCTTCCTCTTTATGATGCACCAAATGTTCTCTATAGGTGAAAGATCTGGACTGCAGGCTGGACATTTCAGTACCTGGATCCTTCTCCTACGTAGCCATGATGTTGTGATTGCTGCAGAATGTGGTCTGGCATTATCGTGTTGAAAAATGCAGGGTCTCCCCTGAAAGAGATGACGTCTAGATGGGAGCACATGTTGTTCTAGAACCTGAACATAGTTCTCTGCATTAATGGTGCCTTTCCAGACATGCAAGCTGCCCATGCCACAAGCGCTCATGCAACCCCATACCATCAGTGATGCAGGCTTCTGAACGGAGCGTTGATAACAACTTGGGCTATCCTTGTCCTCTCTGGTCCGGATGACATGGCGTCCCAGTGTTCCATAAAGAACTTCAAATCGTGACTCATCTGACCACAGAACAGTCTTCCATTTTGCCACACTCCATTTTAAATGACCCCTGGCCCAGTGCAAACGTCTGAGCTTGTGGAGCTTGCTTAGAAAGGGCTTCCTCTTTGCACTGTAGAGTTTCAGCTGGCAACGACGGATGGCACGGTGGATTGTGTTCACTGACAATGCTTTCTGGAAGTATTCCTGAGCCCATTCTGTTATTTCCTTGACAGTGGCATTCCTGTTTGAGGTGCAGTGATGTTTAAGGGCTCAGAGATCACGAGCATCCAGTAGAGTTTTACAGCCTTGACCCTTACGCACAGCGATTGTTCCAGATTCTCTGAATCTTTTGATGATGTTATGCACGGTTGATGATGATAACTTAAAAGTCTTTGCTATTTTACGCTGGGTAACACCATTCTGGTATCGCTGCACTATCTTTCTGTGCAACAATGGTGGAATTGGTGATCCTCTTAACATCTTGGCTTCTGAGAGACACTAACACTCTGAGCAGCTCTTTTTATACCCAGTCATGTTGTCAGTTGACCTAATTAGTGTTAATTGGTCTTCCAGCTGTTCGTTATATGCTCAATTTCCTTTTTCCAGCCCCTTATTGCTACTTGTCCCAACTTTTTTGGGATTTGTTGACACTGAAATTTTGAATCAACATATTTTTCCTTTAAAATGTTACATTTACTCAGATTAAACTTTTGATCTGTCATCTATGTTATACTATGACTAAAATATTGACATTTGCCATCTCTACATCATTGCATTCAGTTTTTATTCACAATTTGTTTAGTGTCCCAACTTTTTTGGAATCCGGTTTGTATGAAACAGGATCGTAGACAGGAGTCGGTTTGTTTCACCTAAATTATGTACCGTATTTGTCGCCTATGAGTCACACCTTTTTGCCTAATTTGCATGCCCTGCAACTTAGTTATGGATTTTTTCCTGCCATATTTATAAACCAATTTTGGGCTGAGATATGACTATTTTCATTCATTCTGACATGAAAAATATTGAACACCACCGTTTTCAGCCGCTAGATGGCGCTCGAGTAATATGGCATGCCATTGTATCATAGATAAAAGTGGCTATTAATGACACAATTGGCTTGC